AGAGAGAAGGAAGGAAGGAAGGAAGGCAGGCAGGCAGGCAGGCAGGCAGGCAGGCAGGCAGGCAGGCAGGCAGGCAGGGTTTTCCTGAGTTTTATTTATAAATGTTGCTTAAGTCCTTTTTTGTTATGTTATGCCAAATTCATACAGAAATCTGAACAAAAACATTGTGAAATTGCATTCAGTTCCTCATCTTCCACAAAGGTTAGAAAACATCAAATATCCCCCCCAAAAGGGAAATGCATGCCTGTTGTAAAATGTGCCTGCAACTTCTCAATATCCCGTAGTGCGATCTGTGATATAAAGAGGTACATCAAGCATGAAACAAGCACAGGCCATACAAGTGTTAAATCCTCCTGAGTGCTGATAAGCTTTCCGTCCACAGCCCAGTGACAGACCAAGTACTGACTGCAGAAGGACTTGTTTTTCGCAGCTTTGTACTGCAGGGTAATTTGCTGTTTGTGGTGAATGGCAGTTCGAGTAAATTGGTAGACAGTTACTTCTCATTCACTAATGGACTTCTTTCTTTCTTTGTTTTGTTTCGTTTGGTCCTAGTGAAAAGGTTGCTTCACAGTGCCAAACGTTGCTTTAGATCCAGTTACAATAGGGTTTTTTGCTGTTGGATATGTCCCTTTAGGGGGTGAGGGGCAGAATGAATGCAGGGGCAGGAGCGGCGGGGGGAGGAGAAGAGGAAAAATAAAAGACTGCATTGCACACTATGACTCAAGCAAGTCCATGCTTCTGATTGTGACTTGTTGGCAAGTATATGTTAAATTTGGAAGTAAGCCTAAAAAAGGCTTTGAGTTCAGTTCAGTTATTTTCCCTTTTCAAATACTTTTATTTTTTCTAGCATTTTAATTTTACTGTAATGGCACTTTTGATTGTACATTTGTATACATTTAAACACAGTTAAAGCTTTAGCATGCGATAAGAAATTAGTTAACGCATTTCAGGCTAAAGAAAAAGTGACTGGAGAGCTCCAGTACAGGTAGTCCTCGATTTAGGACCATTTGTTTAATGACTGTTCTGTTCAAAGTTAGGATAGCGCTGAAAAAAATGACTTACTATCAGTCCTTGCGCTTATGACCGTTGCAGCATCCTTGCAGTCATGCTGTGATCAAAATTTGGGTGCTTGGCAACCGGCATGTATTTATGACATTTGCAGTGTTCTGGGTCATGTGATCGCCATTTGCAACCTTCCCAGCTAGCTTCCAACAAGCAAAATCAATGGGGAACCATGTGATTCACCTAATGACCGTGGTGATTCACTTAACAATCAGCACAAAAATGTCATAAAAGTGGGTGCAGTCACATGATGCCTCACTTAATGACCACACTACTTAATGACAAATTTTCTGGTTCATATTGTGGTCATAAGTCGAGGACTACCTGTACTCAATTTCTATCATTATACTAGAAACTGTTTAAAATTGTTCTAGTATTCTAAATCCCACAAACATTTCAGAGAACATAAGCCTTTTCCTCAGCAGCTTATTTATCCAGCAGCAAATTTTATTCTGATATTACTTACAGGGGTGTTTTTTTTAGTTAACATATATTCCTAAAGTGAAATTCCTGTAAAAAGTCACACCTCAGAGAAATAGGATTATTATAACTACATTCTTCCCATGCTTTATTGCCCAAAATATCTCTGGAAATCAGCTGTTTAAAATAAATATTCAGTGTGCATGACACTGAAAACTAACTAAAGTGCCTGCAGTGGAAGGCCCATTAGACAGCTAGTATTCTGAAAATAAACATATGCCTCCATTTTTCTCCACCTTGCTTTCAGGATATTTTTTAGCTTCAAATGCATGTCTGCAGAACTAAACATGTGGCACCATGTGAACAATGTATAAATGCACAGTGAGATAGCAGCATCCATTCCTACCTCTTCTGTACCTATACATTTGCAATGGTGTATAAATGGTACATTAGCAAAATGTTGTATAGGCAAGCATTTGTCATGTACCTTGAGAATCTCAAGATTGACTTTGTCTTCTCTCCAGCAATATTTCTCTATCCAGCCCGTATCTTTAATACTTTAAGAGTGTCAGGAACTGTGTTGGGGCTACGCAAGCTCCATTATTAATTGATCGGTCCATTTAAAAAAGGGAATAGTTTAGTTCCCATGTTCCTTACTTGGTTTTATAAAGGGTAAGGAAATTGGGGACATAGTTAAATAAGTGTGAAAATGTCACCACCTCAATCACAAAATAGTACATACTGTACCATACCCTATAAATTATGGTTGGGTACATTGTGTAGCTTTGAATAATGTTCAGTCCCTTAATGATAATGCAGTCAATTTATTATAAATGCTTTTCTCAAAGCACGTTGGTTTTGAAGTGATTTGAAAGGTGGACTAGAAGGAGTTGTTGAAGGAGGAAACATGCCCAAAGAAGTTGCTGTTGAAAATATAGCTTTGGGGTAGGGGGGGTGCATTCAAATTGGATTGAGCAGCCTTTCACTGAAGGTCTGAACAAACCAGGCAGTTGACCTGACAACTGCAAGAACAAAAGTTGCTGCAAACAAAAACACACATTTTTTCATTATCAATCAAAACTCTAAGTTAAAGAAATACTTGGTACAGTAGTTTGATATCTGGAGTTGCTGGCAATCTGTTAGCTTTTATTTTGAAGACAGAGATGTCAGTTTCTGCTCTGCCCCATAACTTGTTTTCTGACTTCTAATGAAGTAACTCTCTACTATTACCTACTGTTAATTGCTAACAAATTGTGATATAAAAATATATATCTAACACAGAGAGAGCTTGAAAGCACCCATTTTTGCACTGATGATCAAGATTAGCCAAAATTCTGTTTCTAAGATCCATCTGTGCAATGTATCTGCATTAAGTAGCAATTACTATGCTTTTCTATCTATGGAACAGAAATGTGGGATAAGTACGTTATTATCTGCATGTACTGATCCTTATCTAATTTTTATTATTCCAGCTGTTGGAACAAGAATCTTAACATGAACTATTGGCTGATCATCAGGCTACCTATTATGGTTGCTATTGGGGTAAGTGACTGGAAATTCTTGCCATAGTAGCATGGATGATGGGTAACAGGTGGAAAGGGATAGAAATGCTGGCACTGTAGATGTCCTTTCGCTAATAAAATAATTTTGTAGGAGTTGCATTAATTGTTTTTCCCCCCGACAAACAATACATAAATGATGTAAGATAGTTTTTTAATTTGTCTGTAAAACTGAATTTGGGAGGTTGCTTTTTTTTCTGCATTCCAATAAATAAGTAACTGAATGTCCATCAAACTCATAATGTACTTGTACAATAGCTCTATTCCACCTTCTTAACAAGCCACTCTTTTCCCTGGTATCCACACTGGACTCTGGGCTATCCAGAAAAGCTGTTGGCAAGAATCCCTAAATAGGCCATGTTAATTTTATTATAATAATAAATGATAGATAAAATGCATAATAATTAAACCTTTATAACCAATGAATTAAAACATCAATTAAAGTATCAGTTTGTAATTGGCATGTGTGTTTAAAGTTTCATTTGAAATGTGTCAGCTAGAATATAAGTGATGTGTTGCTTCATGATTCAGATGATAAGCATAATTTTGGAGTGAACTGTCTGGCAGATGATGTTAAAATGAATATTATTGTACTAACAGAGATATGCAGATATGCTGTTCAGTTCTACAATCTGCTTTGTAATTCCTTCTTGTTTTATTCAGGTAAATTTCCTGATTTTTATCAGGGTTATTTGCATTATAATTTCTAAGCTGCAAGCCAATCTGTTGCGCAAAGGTGACATAAAATGCAGGTGAGTCCATTTGTCAGCAAAAATACTTTCAGTTTTTTTTCCTTAGGCAAAATGTTTATGATAACTGATCATAAGGAAAATTGCTTATGACAACGGAGAAAGATACAGATTACATCTAATAAGAGGGACTGAACAAAACTGTGGTGCCATTTGTCAGTAACAGTTTAAGTATGGGTGAATGTTGAATTGTGGCTGAGTATAGTATATATGTCAAGTTCCTTTTTTTCTTTTTCTTTCTTTTTTTTTCTTTGTAGGGGAAACATTAAACTGTTTACAGTCTGTTTATCAAAATCTGTTTTAGGAGTGCTTTGAAGCATATGCAGCTTGTTAAAGAATCTCCCCAATAAATCATTTCCTTTGAAGACTTACCTGTTATCCACATTTCAATCCATGGGGTTCTTTTTTATGTGGATTTCAAGTTATTTATTGTGGAAAAGCTCTGTATACTTATCAGGCATTTTTAAATACCTCTTTTGGTATTCTCTGTTTGGAATAGAAACTTACTGATAAGTTTGTTTCAATATTTATATTTGATATTGATATTCCTTGGTGGCATATATAAATACATTCAGCAGTAAGTATCATTTCAACAGATACAATACATTCACAAATACCCTTTTCCAGTACAAGTTCAATCAAATATTCCTTTAATTCTCTGGATAGACACTTAACATTTTAAAATACAATTTTACAAAGCTACTCATATTTTATCAATGAAGTGTATTTTTATAACTGGAATAGTCTATGTGGAAATCAATCCTGTCCTTTAGATCAAAAAGATTATCTTTTCCCTATGTACATATTGGGGATTCTTTTTGTTTGGGAAGGGGAAAGAGAGATTTTGGTAATGCAGATCATTAGCGGCTACCACTGAATACATGCTGCAAATTTTGGTGTGTAATGCAACAAGGCTTGCAAGGCTTACAGTATTCATAACTAATTTTGTGCCACCTTTATTGGTCTCCAGATTGTTTCTGGAGTTAATATGTTGCCTTTGACTTTTGAAGCCATAGAAACTATCCTCCTAATTTCACCATCACCAATAGAAGAGGAGTCCCTGTAGATAAGAGAGCCATTTGATTTGTGGAATAGCTTTCCAGAAAGATTGGCCAGATTGTTTTTCTTCCAGTGGGATTTTTTTAGATGAACCTTTTGCTTCTGTTTGTTAATCTATTGGCTGATCTTCCCAGATTGGCCAAATCTACACTGACTCTGATCCCACTTCTGGGTACACATGAGATCATCTTTGCTTTTGTTACTGATGAACACGCCAAGGGGATGCTGCGATTTGTGAAGCTCTTTTTTGAACTCTCCTCTTCTTCCTTTCAGGTAGTACCTACATTCTCTATTCAATGTGAGATTTTGTAGTCAGGATTTCAAGACTTGACTTTTTTTTCCCATAAGTCTGTTTCTAATGGTGTCGGCCCCTGTCTGTGTTAGGATTGCTGTCCTACAGAAACTGAGTGGATGAAGTTCATAGCTTTGGTCAGAATTTGATATGCCACAGAGAGCATCTGGATTATTCACTCATCGGGTCAGAAACCTTCAGTAGCCCTGGCTTTCGGCTGTTGCTTTTAAATGCCAGGTTGGTCTGTACTAAAACCTCCCTCATCAGTGATCTAACCACTGATGAGAGGGCTGACCTGGCTTGCATTACCAAAACCTGGCTGAGTCTGGAAGCGGGGGAGTAGCCTTTTCAGAGAGATGCCCAGCTGGGTTTTGGACATGGCATCAGCCAACGCTCTGGGGAGGGGTGGGGGTGTGACTATTGTCATTTGGGAATCTCGTATGGCTTTCGGGGGTGCTGCACCACAGGTCACTGGATGTGAAACTCTGTTCATTAAATTGGGCTCTAGGGATCAGTTGGGATTGTTGCTGTTAGTACCAGCCTCCCTGCTGCATAGCAACCTCCCTGCCTGAGCACCTTGACTCCATTTCTGGGTTGGCAGTAGAGTTCCCCAGACTTATGGTTCTGGGGGACTTCAACCTGCCTTCTCTAGGAGTGGGGTCTGAGGTGGCTTGAGAGTTCATGGTAACCATGACAACCATAGGCCTATCCCAGATCATCCAAAGCCCAACACAGGACAGTGATCACACAGGGATCTTGTGTTCCTGTCAGAGCAGCAGCTATGTGATCTGAAATTGGGGAGTTCTTGGTGTCCCCCTTATCATGGTCAGTTCACACCCTGATTTCAATGGGATTCTCTAGTGCCACTATTCACTGCAGGGAGGCTGGACCCGTTAGATTGGTCTGCCCCTGGTGACTGATGGACCTGGATGGGTTTCAGAGACAGCTGGGGGTTGTTCCTGTTAGTCAGCTGCACCATCCATCCAAATCTTTAATCACCACTTGGAATAGGGGGTGGCTGAGGCATTGGATCAGATTGTGCCTATGCAACCTCTCCCCTTTTGGGGATCCCATCACTCCCCATGGTTCACAGAGATGTTGAAGAAGATGAAGTGAGAGAAGAGACATCTAGAGCATCACTGGCACTCAATAAAGGATGAACTCGATCAAACGTGTTAGAGCTGCTGTTAAGGCCTACCTTGTGTCAGTAAGGGCGGTGAAACGTCAGTACTTCTTTGCTGTTATTGTGTCCACAGATAGCCACCCCACAGCCCTGTTTCAAATGACATGAGCCCTTTTGGGAAAAGAGGGCTCGGGAAATCTCTTGCAGGAGTGTACGGAGGAATTTGCTCAGCATCTGTCAGAACAAGTTCCTTGGATTTACTTGCAGTTGGATGCCAGCCTTGTTGCAGTCCAGAGAAGATGCCTGGGGAGGAGTCTTGCTTAGTTATCTGGGAATGATTTGAAGCTGTTGGACCACAGGGTCCTTAGGACTGTGGGCTCAGCCACCTGCTGTTTAGATCCATGCCCCTCCTGGCTTGTTAAAGCAGCCCGAGGGGTGTCATGTGAGTGGGTCCTAGCGGTGGTTAATTCTTCTTTGAGTGAGGGGGTTGTTCCTTTACCTCTTAAATAGACTTTGGTTTGCCCCCTCAAGAAGCAATCACTAGACCCCCACCATACTGGACAATTTTCATCCAGTATCTAACCTCCCCTTTTGGGGGAAGGTGGTTGAAAAGGTGGTTGCACAACAGCTTCAGAGGACCTGGGTGAAACAGATTATCTGGATCCTTTCCAGTCACGATTCAGACCCAGGTATGGAAACAGCATGGAAACAGATGGAAACAGTCGTGGCTAGGAGGGCCTTCCCACAACTCCATGTTGTGTGCCAGTTGCGCCCATTCCTGGATCGGAAGGCTCTGCTCACAGTCACTCATGCCCTAATCACCTCCAGATTGGATTACTGTAATGTGCTCTGCATAGGGCTGTCCTTGAAGAGTATCCAGAAGCTTCAACTGGTACAGAATGAAGCAGTGTGAGCAGTTATGTGTTCTCCCAGAATAGCACGTCACACCTCTGCTCCGCAAGCTGCATTGGTTGCCACTTTGTTTCCAGGTCCAATTCAAGGTGCTTGACCTTTAAAGCACTTCATGGCATTGGACTGGGTTATCTGAGAGACTACCTCTCCCTGATTATGTCTGTCCGTCCCATCAGATCTGGCAGAGAAGGCATGCTGCAAGTAGCATCTGCTAGGGATTTATATTTGGTGGGTCTCCAGAGGCGGGCCTTCTCTGCCATGGTGCCCACTTTATTGAACATTCTCCCCCACCCCGAAGTCAGATTAGCTCTATTCCTGTTAATGTTCCAGAAGTCCCTCAAGACCTGGTTATGTCACCAGGCCTGGGGATCCCAGGGAACCAATAACATCTTAAGATGGCTCCCCTATTGTTATGTTCACTCTCTCCATCCCTGTGGTTTGTATATTTTACTTTTTAATATATTTTAATTTTTAATAATGATTGTTTTATATTTTATAATGATTTTATTTATATAATTGTTTATATTTGATTGTTGTACACCACCCAGAGTCACTTCTTGTGAGATGGGCAGCTATACAAATTTGACAAATCAATCAATCAATCAATCAATCTCAATTTCCCTTTTCACTAGATTAACAGGCAAGGTACCCTTTAATTCCATTGCCACTGTCTTCTACCCAGCCATTAGGTTTATCAACTGTCCAGAATTTGGGCATTTACCAGAACTGAAGAATGGGAAGCAACAAAGAAAAAGATCTGTCAATTCATTTCATCGTTTTTGCAGCTGACGTAGTATATACAGTACATGCAAGTTGCTCTCAGGATTGCAGGTTGGCGTTGTATAAAGGAATCTGTCAGGTTTACATGACAGCTCAAACCGTATGATGTGTAAATATGAATCAACGTCTTCCCTGAATTTCAGTTGGAGATACTTGCTTAATAAGACACACCTGGATACATCATCCCCATCCACCACCAGATTGTTTCTTCGTGATACAGAATAGAGAACGGATCACCTGGTGTCCTACTTCCTGCCTCTATTCTGCTGCTGTTATATACATAAAGCATTGGGGCTGGACTATCTTTTAGGCTCTGGAAAAGTCTGTACTTTTGATACAGCTATATAGATAATTTAAATTCTTGCTCTTGCTCTTGCGCTCTCTCTCCCTGCTTTTGCTTGGTTTTTATCTAGTTTTTGCCAGTTAAATGTTTTGATGTTTCTGATGATAAACATCAATCTATATTTCTGCTAGCTGAACTGAGTCATGCGTGTGTTTGCTCTGATCTAGATACAGGAACTAAGTGGAAGGGTACTGGCTGCAAGCTAAACTGGAAATTACCCTCATAATTTTCCAAGAGATATGACTTGCACTATGTGGAGAGTGTTTGTAGTGAGCCATCAGGTTGATGAATTGCAGTCCCAGCCTATCTGGAGAATAGGTTGGGGAAGACTCTGTCAGCAGCACTACTGCTCCTAATTCTGAACTATAGTTGGGGAACTCCTTGTGGTGAACATTTGTCTGATTTAGTCTATTGCTGCTGCTCTTTTTATATTGATTTGGTCACTATCTGATTATCAGTTTTGTTCCTTTTATCATTTTATTTCAAAAGGGTAATCAGCCAGGTTGTTAATAAAATGAATTAACCTGCCATCCTGTAGGAGCTTTTCTTCCTGATCTTGGAGTCAGCAAGGCACTATTCAGCCAAATGAAATCTTTCTCAGTTGAACTGCTTTCTCATGCTGCAGGAAAAGCAGAATTAGATATAGTCTGTTTCCTCATTAGTTTAGCTAGCGAAGGATGTGTGGATTTTCTAACTGCTATTTTGTCGTCTTCATTTTTCAGGGACTTCTGGTGGCAATTCTCTACTGTTTTAACAATACTGAGGTAAGAGGCACAGAAAGTTGCTTTATTTCACCTACTAACTTTTCAAAATTGCTCCTATTGATAACACATTTAAAAGAAACTAAAAGCATAAAGCATCTGCCTTAAAATTAAAGAAAGTGCTATGCAGATCTCCTTAAGAGGAGAGTTCCAGAATTGGGTTGCCACCATAGAGAAAACTCTCCCTTATATTCCCATCGGCAGTAAGATATATAAAATAGTGTCCCAAACAGAGTGTAAGCTACGTACTCTTATTTTCTCCAGGAACTGAATGCACATAAAAAGTTGGGAAGTGAATGAATACATAAACGCATGTAGGTGCAAAATAATTAGCCTATTTACCTGGTAAAAGATGGCTATTTTGGCTCCAAATCATTTACAGACTTTATAAAAGAACACTTGAATTTTCCTGGAAATAGATTGCAGTCAAAACAATTAATACAAAGCTGAAGATCAGTCTCCTGCAGTGACTTTGCACAGAAAAGCATGTTATATAAATAGAACTAGTGACCATGGGAGCAGAGCAAATGTCTCCTGGCACCATCTTCTAGACGTGTTCAGCTAGGAAAGAGAAATCCACAATAAATCATTGTATCACATTCTATAATGTCTGATCTTTGCCTGGGTTCAAAAGCTAAGCAGAATCAGGCCTGCTTAATACTTAGATAGGAGATTGCCATCTAATTACCTACTGGCAGTAGGCAGTAACGAATCATTTATGTACTTTTGCCAAGAAGATTACATGGAAATGTCCATGAAGTCACCAGAACTTAAGTTTAACTTGAAGAAGACTTTAACTGCATGCTCTGTGCTGGCCACAAGCCATAAATAAGCACTGTCAGTATGGTATTGAATGCTACTGAAATTTCACATAGAAGCAACCAAAGCATATTTTATCACTGCTATCTCAATGCAAATCTAGCAAGGTTCATTCATAAAAAGACTAAAACTGGTTTTTGTCCCAGGATCCAGCCTGATGCATTTGATTACCAGGTTATTATTACTCATTTATTCTATGCAAGAACAACATTATAAAAATATATGTTCTAAAGAGGAAATTCCAAAGAGTATATGTAATTTAGTGAAATGTGGGAGCAGCTTTGGGCTTTCATTGCAATCTCTATATGCCAGAAGATATGCACATCCAATGCTTTCAAATAAATGGGGTTTTACATTCATTTCAAAACTAGAAGGACAGGAAAGAAAATGAAAAAAGAAATTTGCCATGCTCTGTTGCCAATTATACAATAGATAAAGCTGTAACAAATAGCAGAGCTTCATATCCTCTTTAAAAGCTTTGTATTCATCACACAAAAAGCCTCAACATTTTTGAACCATGTACAGTAGCTGTTACCAGACATCATTCAGTAGATAGTCTTCAACATTTAAGTGATTCTATTTCTAAAAACAAGTGGATTTCAGTGAACGTTGAACATAATAATAGGTCTGTATTAGAGACCAGTGAATTACTACAGATGAACTAATCATAATTTTGGGATGTTTGGAATCATTTGCTGCCCAATCTACTGTTCATGGTAAAGTGAATCTTGAAAGGCTGTGAACAGATGTTAAGGATAGATTTCCATTCATGGGAAAACATGAATGGAAATAAACTGAATATCACTGGACAGATGGATATTTATTGTTTGATCATATTTTGTTGTCATTCAATGGTTTTCTTCAATCCATTCAGCTTTCAATTTAAATTCTCATCGACAAATAATTATGCTTGAATTAATCAGTTCTTGTCCTGTTAAAATACCAGAATCTGTACAAAATTTGAATCTGAAAGTTTTTCGTTGATGAAAAGTTTGACAAGAATGGTTGTCTCTAGCAAAGTTGTAGAACTTTTAGCCAGAATAACCTCAAGATGGTTGTTCTGTCTTGCCAAATAAATCTCCACATAACTACAGATTTCACGCATGTTTACAAGGATTACTGAGACATTTTTTAAACATGCCTCCTTGAATTTTGAATTAATTAATGCAATACTGAGAATTAAAATCTGAATTTTAAGAAATGATTCCACTTTAAAACATGTAATTAAGCCTTTAATTACAGCTCTATGACATCTTTTAAACTTTTCTTACCAAGCACATGCTACAATACTGTGATGGCAAACCAATTTCCAATTTGAAAAGCAAAAGGAAGAGCACAGTGAGACATGTTGAACTGTTTGCTCACCTATTTCTTACTTGTAGCCTTTTCTTAGCTCTTCTTTCACCCAGGTGTTGGAAGAAAAAGTTATCTTACCAAGTCCGTTTCTGAGCCGGGAGTAAAGACACTGACGAATTGC